ATAAACCCTAATAATGTGTGGATTACTATCTTATATTCTAATATTTTATTATTTTATCTAATATATTTTAAATATTTTAATTATTCATAATAATTTTTTTATAATAATATCAAACATTTAAAAATTTTAATAATACTATATCACATTTTTTAAATACATTTTTTTCAATCTAAATTTTTTTAACCACAACATCAACCCTAAACTAATCTAAACCCTTACCAGTCCCCTCAATAAAATGGCACTCATTAAAGAAATAGAAAATATTGAATAAAGATATTCCGTGCATTTAAATTGTAATAGTAAACTTTGACATTTTTTTAATTAAGATGCACAAATCCTAGAGCAATTGAATTACTTCTAAACTTAAAACTAACCTATTGGTAGGCCATTTCACTGAATTCTGATTAGATTATTAAATTACTAAATTTCCTAAATTGGTAATAGCTGCCTAGCTTGCCATGCTTGGAGCCAAAGCAATTTATTGCTTTATGATAATTTTGGTTGAAAGAGAAAAGAAAAAAATTTGAATGAAAATACAAATTCTCAAACCAACATTTTTTATCTTAATTTACATGTTATATAGTCCCTCCAAATCAAATATTGATTTCACAAAATAAAAAAAAACTTTAATCTATACTTTATTATTATTATTATTTAATTTTAAGGTGGAAAAAAATCGAATTCTATCTTTTGAAGTGAAGAAATACATGTATTGAATCAAATTCTCGAACCATTCACTTTTTAGTGAAGAAAGAAAAATAATTTTAATAAATAGAAGCATAAATTTGTTTTTATAAATAATTTTCATATTAAAATTTTTGAAGAAAGTGATTTTAATTTTTTGTAACCCATTTTTTCAATTTTTATATTTGTGGTAATATATCTTTATTTAAAATTTTTCATGAATTAATTAGAGTACCACTTGACATGATATTTTCATGGAAAATTTTGGTAATGGGGAAAAATTTAGAGAAAGAAAGAAAATTGGTGAAAATTTAGACTCTGTTTGGTTTGAGAAATTTTTTTTATTTTTTATTTTCTAAAATATGTATTTACTAAACAAAAATAAAAATTATTTTTTAAAAATAAATAATAATAAAATAAATAAAATATTCAATGATATTACTATTAATGGCACTAATTATAAATATCATATATATATTTATTAATTAATGACATTAAAAAGTGTTCAAATATGATAATTTGCAAAATATAAGAAAAAAATTAATATACATCTCTTGTTTTCTCAATTGAAAACATATATATTTTTTATTTTCATATTTCAACTTATTTTTATTTTTATTTTTAATAACTTATTTTTACTTTTAATTACCAAACACGTTTTGATTCATATTTTTTATTTAAAAAATAAAAACAAAAAATAACTTCATTTTTTGAAATCAAACACTATCTTAATTTCTTTTCCCTTTCTTTATAGCCAATTCTAATGTATTAAAGGTAAAAATATCCATTTTTCCCTCCTCATATTTGTTTAATTGTTTTAAGCCCAATTTGGAAGAGTTATGAGAGTCCATTAAAAAATGACTAAAACCTAATTTATCATTATTATTGAAAACAGATTTTACATTTAAAAAGTATTTTTAATGCAATCTCAATATTAAATAACAAAAAAATAATTTTTCAATCTTAAACTTGATTTTCAAATCCAAATAAATTTTTTTTCAAGAGATGTTTTGCCAATAAAAAATTACTATATTATTTTTATATTTTATTATTTTATATATATTTTTTATTTTAATTACTTACAATATTTTTTATAATATTACCAAATATTTAAAATCTTCAACCACACTTTTTAAATGTATTTTTTTTCAATTCAAAATTTTTATTAATTACGGTCTATAACAACAATGTTAAACTAATCCTAAACCCTTAAAAATTCAATCTATAAAACGACACTCATTGAAGAAATAAAAAAGATTGAATAAAGATATTTGATGCATTTAAATTTTAATAGTAAACTTTTGCACAAATCACAAAAAATTGGATTATTTCCAAACTTTAAACCAACCTATTGATAGGCCATTTCACCGAATTTTGACTTATTGAGATTAAATTTCCTAAATTGGTAATAGCTCGTCAGCCTGGCATGCTTGGTGCGAAAGCAAATAATTTTTGAATGAAAACACAAATTCTCAATTTCACATTTTTGGTCTTAATTTACATACTCTATATATAAAAATTATTTATGCATATCTTAATTAAATTATGATTTCTTAAAGAAAGTATGCTTTTTTACATACTAAATGGTTGTCTCTCGTTTTTAAACTTGATAATTCGTGTTATCATGTTATATAAAATATTATGTTCATATCGATACGAAAATATAAAATATAATTTTTTTGATTTCATTAAACATATTTATGATTTTTATAAAATTTAAAATCGTATTATTTTTATATCTTTTATTTATATAATTTTTGTATTGTACTACCATGTTGTATTTCAACTTATCATATTTATCTATTTCATCGGGGCTTTTTTTATAAATTTTAATTTTTTTCTTAAAAACAATTTTTATTTGGTTCAAGATTTTTTTAATTTATATGAATATTTTTTTAAAACTATCAAAAATTAAATTTTGATTATTAAAACTAAAATTTTTATATATTATTAACAAATCACAGTATAATTAATTATATTTTATAATAATAGAATGGAAAAATAATATATAAAAAATAAAAGATACAATAATTTAAAATTTTGATAACTTTTAGAATTTAGACAGGTTTCGATTTAATATTACGTTTTTTAAAGAAGTCTCGAATTTTTTTTTCTAAAAGGTACAAATGGCTACTTAAGAGCAAGAGAGGTTTTTAGAATAAATAAAACAATCCCAGCAAGTAACATTTTTTAGCATTAATTATATTCTTTTTCAATCGGTTTGTCCCTTTATTTAAATATTAATTTTTTTTGGCCATTTTATTTTTTTAAAACTCAAAAATTATTCGTTAGAAAATTTTTAGAGAAGATAATTTGACCTATTAGTTTGATCTGATTCGATTTTTTAAAATCAATTTTTTTAAAAAAATCAAGTATTAGGTAAGATCAATCGGGTCAAGTAATAAAAGAAAAAAATCAAATTCAAATTAAATTTTAATTTTAGACAAATTTAATTTTATTCAATTTAATATATATAAATTATTATTTTTAATTAATTATATATTTTTTATATATTTATATTTATTTAATTTTATATTTAAAAAATATTTTATTAATTTCAATCGAATCGAATTGGATACAATTTTATGTAATATCGAATTGAATCAAATTTAAATATAAAAAAATTAAAAAAAATTAAATTGAATTGAATCAAATTTAAATATTATATATATAATTAAATTAAATTTAGAATGAATAAAAACTCATCTTAATCCAATCTAATGCCATCCAAAAAAAATTTAGGAAGACTTAGATTACAATTGAATTCCATCGTGCCAAAGTAACCTAGATTTCGGCAATTGGTTGTCGAAAACCTCAATCTTTTCCGGATCTCATCCACCAGCCAAAAGTTGCCGGCAAACCCCTTTGGCCGTAACTCACGCGCAATGAAAAATCCAAAAATAAAAAACCCAAAAACTCCGTTTCAAACCCTTTTTTCACTTTTCCAACTTGCTTCTTAAAAAAAAAAATGTTATAATTTTCCTAGATCTCGACTTGAATCCCCTGTTTAAAACGCCCCAAAATCTCATCTCCACCACCCTATACACTTTTTACCCCAATGTATTTACATCCACAATATGACTCTAGATGTGTGTAAAGGAATTGCCTTCAAATATTTAGATTTGTGGAAAGAATCAATACCTTTAATCTTCATTATTTACTATTTACACATATATAAAGCCATATGGTGCTATTGTTGACAACTTCACCTAATTCTTTTGCGCCACCTTAGATCTTGTTTGAATTGTTGAAAATTTTTTTAATTGAGTTGCTCGAACTTTTGTTTATGCCCGGAAATTAAATTTATGTATTGCTTTGTTTAAGGGTAAAATGGAAATTTTGTAACAGTTTGTAATATTAACAAGGACTAAGGGTAAAATAATAATTTTATAATATTAGACAATTATCACATAAACACTCATTTAGGGATTATTTTAATCTATAGTAGTATAGATAAAATGGTAAATTTATTGAAGATTTTTAAGCAATTAAAAATGATTAATTGAGCATTTGGCCAAAAATGAAAGAATTTAATTAAATTGAAAAGAAAAAAAATTATAGACTTCAAAGAATTAAAAAAAAAAAAGCACTGCAACTTTTATGAATTATGTCAAAATATTATAACATAAAAAATGTTAATTTTTTTAAAAAGATATACTAATAAGATAAACAAAAAAATATTGGAGGAATTTATAAATTAAATAAATAAATCATAAATATGATAGATTTTATTTATATTTGATTCATTTACATTTATGTATGAATATATCATTTACAATAATTATATTATAATTAATCAATTAAATTTTAAAATTATATAAAATTTATTAAAATATTATATAAAATCTATTTTTATAAACGATGGATCCTTATATAATTTTTGATTATAATTAAATAATTATAATATTATAATAAAAAGAATTATAGTTAACATATTTCTTATATTTAAAATTTCTCTATTAAACAAATTTTAAAAAATCAAAATTCAAAAATTTAAAAGGAACCACAAAATGACACGCAAGTGTTGTCATTCTAAAAATACTACAAGGGCAAATCAGTCAGAAAAAAGAGGGAGTAACTGAAAATCTGTACTCTTTTTGTGGTCTCCGTAATTTCTATTAAATCCAAGGGCAATTACGGTGCAATAAATGAGGGCGCAAAGGGCGGGTCCATTCCAAAAGCTAAAAAAAGATGACAATTACAAAAAATAAAAAAAGTTTTATTTTATTATTTTAAAAAAAGTTAAATAAATCAAATAAATTTTTTTAATATTTAATTTAAATTAAAAATTTTAATTTAGCGGACGTGAAACTTGATTGAAATCTGGTTTAATAGAGGCGTTGAGATACGAATGCTTATATCTCTCTTCCCTTTCTCTCTCAAGGCTTTCTTTGTCCCTTATCGGCTTCACGTTCTCACTTTCTCGCCCCACAGATTTTCTTTCCAAACAACCCTTTGATAGAGAAACCCCAAGAAAATCCGAGAAAATTCACTCTTATCCTCTTTGTCTTCAATTCTCTTCAATTATCCCGATTGAAACAGAGAAAACTCTTTCAGAAGCTGGAGATCACCTTCGTTTCGACGCAGTTGGATCCGGTTCACTGACACAGCAAAATCCGGTTTTGTAAGTTTCTCTTAGAAAAAAACGCCATAGATTTATTCCGTTACGTTGCTGTTTTGATTTCTGGAAGTGAGAAGCCCTAGTAAAAATCGGTGGCCTTCTTTTCTTTTTTTTTGGTTTAGGAAAGAAACGCTAGGTTTTGTTTTAGGGTTTGGTATTTTGGGGAAAAAGGAAAAAACGGTGGCGTTTTGTTGGGGAGGTGCTGCCTCATGCGATTTGATGCCGCCAGAACCTTTGCCTTGGGATCGGAAGGATTTTTACAGGGAGAGGAAGCTCGAGAGGACGGAGTCGCAGCCACAGCTGGCGTCAACGGCTAGATGGAGAGACTCGTCATCTATGTCGTCGTATCAGCATGGGTCCTTCAGAGAATTCTCTCGTTGGGGATCCGCTGATATCCGTCGTCCTCCTCCAGGTAAGCTCTTTCCTTCCTTTTACGCCGCTTGTTTCACCCTAGCCTCTTATTTTAATCCTTATTTCATTTGAAGGTTAGGGTTTTATCATCATGGATTTTCTGGGATTGGTTTTTTTTGGGGGGGGGGTAGGGATTAAGGAGTGTTTAGATCCGTTGGTTTTTTAGGTTTAATTTAATTTCTTTTGGAAATATCTGATTTTTTCTTTTCTTTTGTTTTATTCTAGAATATGTATCTTCATTCTAGTTAACGGGGAAATTTATTATTATTTTTTCTCTCGTTTTGCTTTATTCACTAAATCAACGTTCTTTGATTTTCTGGGTAGTGTTTTTTTTCCCTTTTCTTTAGATATATAATATTGATTTTTCCTATTTTTCTTGTTTTTTGGGTTCATGGGAGGACTTATATTTTGATTTTGATAAATGGGGAATTTAAATGTTTTAATAAAACCTATTTTTCGTTTTTGAAGGAATGATGGTTTTTGGGTTTTCTGGTACTTTTTTTTTTTTGGGGTACTTAAGAGATAGGAAATATTGTTTTTTCTGTTTCTTTGATTCATTGAAGAACATGAACTTTGATTTATTAAATGGAGACTTTTAGGTAGTGTTTGGTTTATGACAACGAGGTTGTTTTCTATTTTCATTTTCACAAAAAATAGAAAATAGACTATAAATCTTCTTTGGTTAAAAAAGTATAAAATATTTTCTAGAAAATGAAAATGAAAACAGGTCAAAATTTGAGGGAAAAAAAAGATGTTTTCAATATTTGCAATGAAACAAAGGGGGAGATGAAAAATGGGAAAGCACGGGAATTTTAAAAACTTTTGTAGTTTATGTTTCTATTGCTTGGAGACACGAGTTCAAATCTGTAAACAAGCAAAACAAGTTTTTTTAGTTTTAGATGAAACCCCAAACTCTTTCCTTCTCCTATTTCTTCTTCTCTTTTCTCTCTTCAGTAATTGCTCCCTCAAACCCCATACTCTTTCTTTCTCTTATTTATTCCTTCTGAGTTGTTTTGCTTTTCTTTTCTGTTCATTCTGGTATGGTGTATTTAGATGCAGAAAATGTAGGTTATAGAAGATCCTGCTGTCAAAATTTCCTTGTTTTCTAATCTATAGCACCCTTTGTAGATCTATGCTCCTTTAATTTAAAAAATGGATTCCTATGAAAAAGAGGGGCTCGTTGAAGAATTTGTATCTGGTTCATTCCAGCAATCTGCCTGCATTTCAAACAAAGTGGCCTTGTAGAGCTGCAAGAAAAACAATCTTTTCTCAGTCTTTCTTGAGTCCATTCAGTAGCTACAAATGCCATACTCCCAGCTCAATCCAACTTTCATCTCTGGCATAGTTCTTGTCTATGGCCTCAGCCTTGGCTTCTCTGGCTCTTTCTTTGAAGTAGCCTCAGAAAACTATTGCAAAGATGTTTAGAAAGTCCAGCCCACAGTGGTTCAACTATACATAGGCCTATATTATATATCATGGATTATGAAACTTGTTTAGGTTTATGCACTGATTTTTTTTTTCAATTAAAATGTTATAGAAGAATAGTAGAAGACCATACTTTGTGGATACAGATGTTTATGCATTGATGTTTTGTATGCAGAGCCTTTGTGTACTTATAAATTACATACTTGCAATTTTAATATGCATTTTGCTTTAATTATTTAGTTATTATCTTTCTATTTTTTGTTTTAAAAATGCATATACCACACTTATTTTTATAATTTTCATTTTTGAAAACAACTTTTCATTTTTTGTGTACCAAACATCTTTCTTTTATTTTTATATGGGGGTACGATTTAAGAGATTGATTGAATTTCCTTTTCTTTTTTGGGATCTGGAAGAATACTTATACCTTGCATTTGTTAATATTTTTGTGATTTTTCTTTTTTGCTTAAATATTTTATGAAGGTCATGGTAAGCAGGGCAATTGGCACATGTTTGCTGAAGAAAATGGTAGTTATGGATATGTGCCAATGCGTTCTGGTGACAAGATCTTGGATGATGAGAGCTTCCATCAGTCAGTTTCTCGTGGAGATGGGAAATATGGTAGAAACAGCAGTAGGGAAAGCAACAGAGGGTCATATAGCCAGAGAGATTGGAGAGGTAATTCTTGGGAAACGAGCAATGGGTCCCAAAACACTCCTGGGAGGCCTCATGATGTGAATAATGAACGGAAGTCAGTGGATGATATGCTAACGTACCCTTCTCATACTCATTCTGACTTTATAAATACATGGGATCAACTTCAAAAGGACCAGCATGATAATAAGACAAATGGTGTCAATGGGTTAAGCACAGTACAAAGATGTGAGAGAGAGAATTCAGTAGGCTCCATGGATTGGAAGCCTCTTAAGTGGAGCCGCTCTGGAAGCTTGTCTTCTCGGGGTTCAGGCTTTAGCCATTCTAGTAGCTCAAAGAGCTTAGGAGGTGTAGATTCTGGTGAAGGGAAGCCCAATTTACAACAAAAAAATTTGACCCCAGTCCAGTCCCCTTCTGGGGATGCAGCAGCCTGTGTCACATCTGCTGTGCCTTTTGATGAGACAACATCAAGAAAGAAGCCACGCCTTAGATGGGGTGAGGGTCTGGCAAAATATGAGAAAAAGAAAGTTGAAGGCCCTGATACAAGCATGAACAGATTTGGGGCTACAATTCCTGTTGGTAATACAGAACCTAACAATTCTCTGAGTTCTAACTTAGCTGATAAGAGCCCTAGAGTTCTTGGATTTTCTGATTGTGCTTCTCCTGCAACTCCCTCCTCTGTTGCTTGCAGTTCCTCACCAGGTAAATCTTAGATTTTCTTATATATTTATTCAGTGTTAAGCAGACATATCTAAAACAGGTGTAATATAATTGACAATAATATTGAAGACTAGACTGGTGAACTGGATTGTTGTTTAGGAATGGTCTTGGAATTACACAATTTATGTGCCTTTTCTGACTATTTTCTTTATAAACCAGCAATAGTTTACAGTCTTGTGACTTCTATTATGAGCATGACCCTTTGTTTGCTCATATGTTCTTGACTCTCCACTTCCCCTCCCTGGCCATTCTTACTAACTTGAATATTATTGGATTGGATGATTGATGATAATAATGTAGGCTCACGTGGCAAATTAAATTGATGTTTAGAACTGGTCTTGGTTTTATTCAATCTATTTATTTTTTTGGTACCATGGTCTTGAACTGGCTCTAGTTTGATAGTTATGTGACTTGTCACGCCATGACTTTTTCTGGTTTCTTATGCCTTAAGAATCGCTTGTTGAATATATATATGATCTTGACTCTCCATTTCCCCCTTTAAGCAAACTCTATATCAGTAGTCTATGTCTTTATGAGGTGATAGTGTTTTCCTTTTGTCAATTCCTAGGTGCCATCTCTCCATGGGGTAGAGCTAGAGCCTATCTATCTAGAATTCTAGGGTCTTATTTAACGGAGGAAAAAGTCATATTTGGCAAGATTATTTGTTCCCAATTGCAAATTTGACCTATGTTGTAAGCATGTGTGGGAAAAAAACTTTGTTTTCTTCATTTTTAGGACTGCTTTTATTGTTTAGTGGCTTATTCTTTAGTTGTTTTCTTCTTTAAGCTTCATGTACCTTCCAAATCATGTCTGAATTAGAGTATTTTTTGATGCCCTTTTTTTTTTAATTGGAAGAATTCTAGGGCCTTATTTTAAAGGAGGAAAAAGTCAAATATTTGACAAGATTAGTTGTTTCCAATTGAGAATTTGACCTATGTTGTAACTTGTAAACTTGTGTTGGAAAAAAGAAACTTTATTTTCTGCATGTTTTGAACTGCTTTATTGTTGACTGGCTTGTTCTTTAGTTGTTTTCTTCTTTTTGTTTCATGTAACTACCAAATCATGTCTGAATTAGAGTATTTTTTTAATGGCTTTTTAAATTGGCAAATGTTTAATTGCTGGATGTTAAATGATCCCCATTCTATTGTGTTATGAATATGTTTTTCTCGTTTATAACCAAAATATTCCTGGTTGTTGCAGGTATGGAAGAGAAATCATTTGGCAAAGCTGCAAATGTTGAAAATGATGGTAATAATTTATGTGGTTCTCCAAGTCTTGGGTCTCAAAATCATCTGGAAGGATCCCCTTTTAATTTAGAGAAATTGGATTCCAATTCAATTATTAATATGGGCCCTTCACTTATTGATTTGCTTCAATCTGATGATCCTAGTACAGTGGATTCTAGTTTTGTTCGCTCTACTGCAATAAATAAGCTGCTACTATTGAAAGGTGATGTATTGAAGGCATTGGAGATCAATGAATCTGAAATTGATTCACTTGAAAATGAACTTAAGTCGTTGAAAGGTGACTCTGGAAGCAGATGTCAATGCCCAGCAACGTCCAGTTCTCTTCCTGTTGAGGAAAATGGGAAAGCCTGTCAAGAACTGGAGGCTGTATCCAATATGATCCCCCGACCTGCTCCCTTGAAAATTGATCCTTGTGGTGATGCTCTTGAGGAGAAGCTGCCCCTTTGTAATGGTGTACTGGAAGAAATTAATGCTGATATAAAAGATGGGGATATTGATAGTCCTGGAACAGCTACATCTAAATTTGTGGAACCATCATCTTTGGAGAAAGCAGTTTCTCCATCTGATATTGTGAAGTTTCATGAATGTTCTGGTAATTTGGGTACCATTCAATTGACAGCAATGGAGGAGGTGATTTTAGCTACTGGTTCACGCAATGAAGGGACTGTTGCACCCATTTCTGGGGAAGTCAGTGTGCTTAAAAAGATTGATAATGATGATGCACATGTTCCAGAATCTTCAAATTCATATGCTGATGGAGAAAATATAATATACGATGAAATATTGACCATTAATAAGGAATTGGCAAATGGAGCTTCTAAAGTATTTAATAACCTATTGCCAGAATATCAGTATAGTGTTGAGATTTCTGAAAATGCCAATGCGGCATACTGGCAGACTGATGCTTCAATCAGGGAAAAAATTGCAATGCGGAAGCGGTACTTAAGATTTAAGGAGAGAGTTTTGACCCTTAAGTTTAAAGCATTTCAGCATGCATGGAAGGAAGATATGCGTTCCCTGTCCATGAGAAAATACCGTGCAAAGTCTCAGAAGAAGTATGAATTTAGTTTTCGTTCAACTCATGGTGGTTACCAAAAGCATCGGTCCTCCTTTCGTTCTCGAGTCACTTCTCCTGGTAATTGTTTGAGCCTCCTGCTTTAGAATAGTTTTTATGAGTTGCTAGTTCTGTTGTATTTTGCTTGTGGTTGCATGGCCTTACTTTAATTTAAGTATGTTACATTTCATTTTGTTTCCTCTTGCCTTTTGTCTTTTTATTTTTTGATTGTCTGTCAACTTGAATGCGATGTAAAATGTTGAGGATTAATTCTTATAAAATTAAACTGTGGGTCATATTAATAATTTACATCTTTTTCAATTATCAAGGGAAATGAAAGTATTATTAGAAGTGTTGCTGAAGATCAGTATGGGAAATAAAAGAGAATCTTGTATTGAAGAAGGTAGAAGACTATAAGCTAGGTTTTTTCTTTAAAATCATATGGACAAGTGGATAACCTAAGATCATTTCTCTTAAGCCTAGAAAATAGACATTGAAGAACATTATGGCATATGAAGGCAATTCCAGAGAGGAATTGAGGTCAGTTGATTTTATATCAAATAGTAATCAACAATATCATGGTAAGCAAAAACTTCCATGACAATTTTATTTGACAAGGAATCGCATGGATTAACATGTTGGAGGCTAGGGCCCTTTCTAAGAGATGATTGTTCTAGCAGAAACTTTTCTTGTTCATGGGTGGAAGAAGCTGCATTTTACATGTTATGGAGTTCAATCTATCTCTTATTTTCAAGGTTCTTTTGTATACATTTTGTGAATGGTCAGTCATTCATAGTATTAGAGATTCTGGTTTTTTGTTTATGGGTATTGGTAATAGGTGGAATATGTAGAAGGTAAGAGTAATTAAGAGTAATTGCCTTTCGACTGGTGAAAGTCATTGTATTTATTGTGAATGTCTCATTATGATTTTTGGACATTTCTTATATTGTTGTTAAGAGAGTGGCTTGAGGTTACTAAAACTAGTCTACCACATTCCCCTTCAAAGCTGATATTTGGATAATGTAGGGTTGGATGCATTGTGGTGCATCTTCCTCGATACCTCATGCATTAAATATGAGCTAGTGGTACAGATTGCTGGCATGCAAGACTCTACTTAAGTGGGAGAATTTGCTGTTGGATTTGATTATCGTATTCGATTTGGCAGATTGTATGCTGCCGTAAATGTTGGATTGTCAAATGAGATATCTGTGATGTATATTCTAAAACCTTTCAAACAATCATGATCTCTGAGAAATATTGCATCGTATGAAAATGCAAAAAATTTGGGATTGCATGTGAAAATGCCCGAAATTTTGGATTGCAGGTTTAAGTCATTGAAGTGGGATTTGCTTGATGGCTTTAGTTTTCCTGGTGAAAATTGGTAAAAAAACTTGGAAGTATCTTATTTTCCTAGATTATGTTTTTCATTTAAATGCTTTCATCCGTGTATATTGTTATTTCTAATGCTTGTAACTGATTAGTATTGTCTTTTTGTAAATTCCAAGTGAATGTGAAAAACCAGGTCACTTTTGACTTGGATTTAGCCTAATTAATGCTGCTGATATGTGTTCCACTAATCAATTATATTTTCTGTTTTCTCTAAATGTCTTATCTGTTTTTGCTTTATTTTCTAGAAAGATTGTTTATTTAAGGACTTGGCATTTACCAGTAGTGATGCATATAATTACTTTTTGGGTTGTTTTTGCAGCAAGAAGTCTAATCCTGGAACCTAATGCAGAGATGATTAATTTTGCAAGCAAACTGTTTCTAGATTCCAATGTCAGGCTTTACAGGAATGCTTTGAAGATGCCGGCATTATTTTTGGATGAGAAAGAGAAGCAGATTTCAAGGTTTATCTCTAGTAATGGATTGGTTGAAGATCCGTGTGCTGTTGAGAAGGAAAGAGTTTTGATAAATCCTTGGACATCAGAAGAGAAGGAAATTTTTATGGATAAGTTGGCTGCCTTTGGGAAGGACTTCAGAAAAATTGCTTCCTTTCTTGATCACAAGACAACTGCAGACTGTGTTGAGTTCTATTACAAAAACCACAAGTCTGAATGTTTTGAGAAAACAAAGAAGAAGCTTGATACGAGTAAACAAGGTAAGTCCTCTGTGAATACCTACTTGTTGACGTCAGGGAAAAAGTGGAGCCGCGAACTGAATGCTGCATCCCTTGATGTTCTGGGTGCAGCTTCAGTCATAGCAGCTCATGCAGAAAGTGGCATGCAAAATCGGCAGACATCTTCTGGTAGGATCTTTTTGGGAGGGCGTTTTGATTCTAAAGCATCTCGAGCTGATGTTAGCATTGCTGAAAGGTCAGGCTGTTTTGATATTATTGGGAATGATCAAGAAACTGTAGCCGCTGATGTTTTAGCAGGTATATGTGGTTCGTTGTCTTCTGAGGCAATGAGTTCTTGTATCACTAGTTCTGCTGACCCTGGGTGGAAGTGTCATAAAGTTGATTCTATGGTTAAAAGGCCTTCAACATCTGTCACTCAGAATGTTGATGATGATACTTGTTCAGATGAGAGTTGTGGGGAAATGGATCCTGCTGATTGGACAGATGAGGAAAAATCAGTCTTTATACAGGCTGTCTCATCTTATGGTAAGGATTTTGGAATGATCTCACGATGTGTTGGAACAAGATCCAGGGATCAATGCAAGGTTTTCTTTAGCAAGGCTCGCAAATGCCTTGGACTGGACTTGATACGTCCAAGAACCAGAAACATGGGAACAGCCGTGAATGATGATGCCAATGGTGGTGGAAGTGATATGGAAGATGCTTTTGTCCTGGAGAGCTCTGTTGTTTGTAGTGATAAGTTGGGGTCTAAAGCAGAGGACTTGCCTTCCACTATTGTGAGCATGAACGTAGATGAATATGATCAAACTGGGGAAGTGAGTTTGCAATCTGACCTGAACTTATCAGAGGAAAACAATGGGAGGCTTGTAGATTATAGAGATTCTGAGACAGTTGAAGCTAGGGCTTTTTATGTGGGCCAAACTGAGCTAATTTCTGAAGGTGTTGGTGATGATATGGTTGTTGATAGTAACAAGGCTGAGTCAGTGCATGTTAAAAAAAGTGTTTCTTTGGCCAATCTAAATGCTTTAAGAAATCACGTTGCTGAACAGGGTGTTTCTGTTGCAGTATCCGCATCTCTTGGTGAGGCAGTTGATCCTTGCCTTCCTAGATTAGATGCTGTGGTTGAGCCCAAACCTGATGCTGGTTGTCCTACTGAGGGGTTTGGAAATGATTTGGAGGCGCAGGAAACATCATTGTCCAAACATGGTCTGGACGAACGCAATACAAACTGCATTGCGGAGACTAGCAGTCGAAGTATCTGCGGGGTAGATTCAAATAAAACCAGTGATGAGTTCATTGATAAAAATTCTAGTTCAGGTTTTAGCTTTAACACTAAAGACCCGCATCAAGCTTCTCTTGACTTGGATTCTGCTGAAAAGCCTTCTGTCATAATATTGCCAAAGGAAAACTCTTTTACTAAAAATTCTCCATTGCATGATTCTGATGCCTTTCAATGCAAGAAAATATGCAACCAAGATAGGTTGTCATCAACACTTGATTACAATGAGAATGAAGACAAACAGGCTCACAAGTCTGTTAGCAGAGATGAGTCTGACCATTTATCTGGAAAGCCATTAGTGGATCTTGCTGAATCCTACCAGATTATAAGGGGTAATCCCTTGCAAATTTCAACTTTGAAAGAAATGAATGGTGATGTCAATAGTCAGCTTCCTCTACTTAAAAGCCTTTCAACATCAGAAAGGGGTTTTACTGGCCCATATTTGGCTCAAGATTGTTATCTTCAGAAGTGCAATGGTTCAAGATCAGCTGCTGATCTTCCACTTCCAGTGGAAAACTTAGAACAAGTGAATGGTCGTCCAAAATCCCATTCTCGGAGTCTGTCAGACACAGAAAAACCTTGCAGGAATGGTAATTTCAAGCTGTTTGGTCAGATACTCAACTCTGGTTCCCAAGATGATGAAAAGGTATCTCATTTTCCAAAACAAAGCACAAAATCGTTGAATTTGAAATTCACAGGTCACAATAATGTTGGTGGAAATACATCTTGCTCAAAGTATGACCGCAATAATTGTCATCGGTCGGAAATTGTTCCCAAGAGGAGTTACGGTTTCTGGGACGGGAACAGGATACAAACTGGGTTGTCATCTTTGCCTGACTCTTCTATTTTAATGGCAAAGTATCCTGCTGCATTTGTTAATTATCCCGTATCAGCATCTCAAATGAATCAGCAGGCATTGCAGACTGTTGTCCGGACTACCGACCGAAACTTGAATGGTGATGTTTCAGTTTTTCCACCTAGGGAAACAAGCAGCAACAACGGCGTGGTGGACTATCAAATGTACAGGGGCCGTGATCGTACCAGGGTGGCACCATTTACCATGGACATGAAGCAGCCACCGGAAATGTTCTCTGAGATGCAAAGACGGAACGGGTTTGATGCCACACCGAATTTACAGCCGCAGGGAAGGGGGGGAATGGTTGGAATGAATGTTGTGGGGAGGGGAGGAGTTCTTGTAGGGGGGTCCTGCCCTACTCTCTCAGATCCTGTAGCAGTACTTCGAATGCAGTATGCAAAAACCACAGAGCAGTATGGTGGGCAGAGTGGGAGCATCAACAGGGAAGAAGAGTCATGGAGAGGTAAGGGGGACATAGGCAGCAGCAGGTAGTAGAAAGCAAATCCTCAGTGGCAAATATTTCTTTGCCGCGCACTGTATGATAGATTTTGTATTTGTTTTTTTATTAATGAAAATGATGATAGGTGCATTCCAGTCTTTTTTTGGTAATATATTTTAGGTGCTTTGTAATATTCCAGCAGCAGCGTTTGTATTTGTTGTATTTGATGGAAAATCCACACAATAATCTGTTGTAGTTTAGGAGGGCAATTTCAGGTAAGTTAACATTGTCTAAGTATGGGAAATTTTTTGCCTAAAATACAAAAGAAGTCTAAGTTATTTCACTTTTTTTTAAAAATAAGTATTTATATTTTTATTATATTTAAATGAGTTTATATCATTTGATTTGGATTAAAATAAATTTTTACTTAAAATGAAAGATTAGTTTATGTTAAGGTTTATTTATGTTAGAGGAGATATTGTGTGGATTGGAACGGATTTGATTCAATTATTTTTAGATAATAAACAAAATTATGAAATTATAAAATTTGATTTTAATTCCAATTGATTTCTTTTAAAATTGATTTGATATGAATTTGATTTGATATATTAATTTAAAAAATTTAAAATTTCGGTTTTTTATATATTATTTTAATAAAAATTTTAATATATTTATATATAAATTAATTATTTTATTTTGTAAAAATTAATAAAAATATATAATTTAATTTAATTTTTAATTTTTATATTTTAATTTAATATTTACATTTAATATTTGAATATAATTTAAATTAAATAATAAAATATTAAATTGAATTAAATTCGAATCCATTTTTTATTTTTTAAAAATTTTTTACCCCTAATTTATGTATAAATTAAAAGTAAAAAACTTTTATTTTGATTCAAATTTTAGATTTTTTTTTATTAAGTTAGCCTTTCTTTTTTCTTGCAAACCCCAAACCCCATAAGATTGATTGCAAATGGGCCTTTATTTTGGGCTGAATTAGGACAGCTTGGGATTTTGTTAATGGGTTTGTAACCCATTTTAAATTGGGCCAGACTTGCACTTGTAGACGTTCATTTGAGATAATTACTGTCCTCTTGCTAATTTCGTTTTTCTTTGTACTTGCAAATGAAGTTTCAAACTCGATAAATAATAGGGTATTGAACTCACTGAAAATATTATACATCCATATAAGGACATAAAAACTCAGTGAATTAAATAAAAAAAACTGACAAATCAAACCAACACGTAACTAAATAAGTTTAACATAAAATTAGATCAAATCCTGACAAAAGTCTCAAAAAAAAAAAAAAAAACTGAAAATTCTGAAGCTGAATAAATTTGATATAAAATTAGATCAAACCTGACATGATGATAGTCCTTTAGAAAAACTGGAAATTCTGAAGGTTGTGTTACCTTCCTAGAAAGAATGAGGTCTAATCTCTAGGGTTGGAACCCCACTCTCCCTTCTACCTCCCACATATGTACCAAAAAGAAAAAGCCAGTAAAGCATCAATCAAACATTAAAAAATAACTTACAGCTTAGTTCAATTAGTTCATATAATCACCTTAAAGGAATAGCATCCTATAGGTATAGTGTTTAAATTTCAATACTAGCACTCATTTCCCCTATTTTTAGGCTACCGCCTCCTTTGTAAAACAAGGAAAAAAAAAAAAAAAAACCTAAAAGATAAAAATAAGACATGATGAATAATTCCTATGGAAGGTGGTTGCTTTACTTTTTCCTAAATTGATGTGGCGGTAGAAAGGCTGTTAAATGGACATTCTTCTCTCAATTAGCTGAGCTAATGGATATGGATTCCCTTGAGCTATTGAGCTCATCACGCGTTTTAAGGATGGATGGAAGTGGTGCAGTGATTTTAATCATCTGCAACAAAAAAAATGAAAACCAAACCTGTAAATTGTTGATAAAAGAAAAAGAAGCCTGAAGAAAAGTGATATTACAATCGAAGCAAATGACTCAAATGATTGCCTATGCATGTTTATAAGGAAGCCAATGCCAAATTCAGGATTTACTTGAATGAACGGCCAGTTATTCATGTGCTTATTGCTTTACCTCATTCTTGGTCGGATGTGAGAGAACAAGTTGATGTGCATGCAAGTAATAGCCACAGTCTCCAGGAACCGGGTTCGTAGGCCTCTGGTACCCTCTGCCACAAGTGAAATATACTGCAATTTTAGTAACTTATTTCGAGATTGTTGCACATGGATTCTAGAGTTAACGTGACTGAAATGATACAGAGGTAATGACGCAACTACAATGGTTAGTATCTCATCCGTTATGATAAGTTTAATGCAGAACAACACCTACGACTACAATAAACTAATTACATTTGGAAGAAGAAATTCAAACCACATTTATTCCTCTTCAACAAGAAATTTAAGTATTTCTTTCCAAAAAAAAAAAAAGAAGTATTGAAGATGTTTGGTTTGAAGCTTGTTTAAAGGAATCTATTGTTTTGGAGGCAAAATTTTCCATAAAAATTTACTAACTTGGCAACAATCTAATGATGACTCAGGATATGTGTCATGAATCCAGAGTACTCTTCATTTATGATAGACAAAATGATCGAGGGAAAATTTTGAACAGGACTTTAAGATATACATTCCTATGGTCAATTAATCAGTGCCACACAAACACAGGCAAATGAGAGCTCAGAGTTTATGAATAATGATTACTAACAAGTTAGATATCATATTCACGATTATTTTGACTTCAATATTATGCTGACCATCAAAGTCTAAGGTAAACAACACCAAAGGTTTGCACAGAAGAGAAGCAGCTATAATTCCTCAGGCTAATCATGGGAGATCAGGAAGTAAATGAAAGCAGATGGATATGTCATACCCATCTTGTGCATAACTTTCATCTACAAACTCAGAGTCAAACCGCCTTGGTTGGCCACCAGCAATATAAAGTGGATCACCTGATTGATTTGAAAGAAACATATCAGTTGAACCACAACAACAGGCTGACTAAGAGATGTCATTTTGACAAGCTTTCATTCAGCAATGGCGGCATTTAAGTTAAAAAAACCAAGACTCATTTAAGATGAATTTACAGAAACAAAACAATAGTACAGGCTTTACCCAACAAAGGATGCCCCATGAAAGAAAGATGAATTCGTATTTGGTGAGGCCGTCCAGATTCAATCTCAACCTGTCAGACATATAACTTAAATATTAGTACAAGTAAATTAAAACACAAGTCTATATAAGTTTGTCCATAACCACCTAAATATTCATGGAGGCATATACCTGGACCAATGTGCGGTTTTGCTGCCCATCTCTCTCAAGAACTTCAACTTTGCTCAAAGCAGGTTTCCCTAGTTAAGTAAAACGTGACAAACGAAAAGTCATGAACACAATAGATACTTGGGGTCAGGGTGAGACCACATCATGAGATAGCAACTTGCCAACTCGATCTTATAACTTAGCATCTAAAACTTCATGAAGAGTCAGAGCCACAAATTTAAATCCATAGTTTAGAAGCTGTATGAAATTTCAAGATGACATCTATTGGACACATGATGTTAAATAAACCAACCTGAGGGTGAAGCAACATATAGTCCTTTGGCCACCCCAGGATATCGCACAATTCCAATTGGCTGATTGATAACAACCTGCGATGCAAAACAATTTCACTTGATGCAAAATCTTTGTGCCAGGAAAAAATACAACTAAGGACAGAAGATTAGCAGATGCAGATAACTTAAATCACCAATGTTATACATTTATTAGGAGATAAAAGTAGGGGGTGACCATGGTCCAGGTGTGTGGTCCTGAAACCAAGATTTTGGACCACCCATAAGGATTGATCCTAAAAATTTTGGACTGTAGACCGATCCATGACCATAGACCACCCATGCAGGGCTGGTTCGGAGCTGTCCACGGTTGATCCTAAATCTTAAAATTTTTCAAATATGTATAATTAATATAATAACTTTTAACAAAACAAATAAAAATTACAATCAAGATATGAAAGTAATCTTTAAGATTTTCAACTTTATCCAAGTGAAAGTCATTGCCCAGATCCATCAATGAAAAACTGGTCCAAATCCATCAGTCCAGGGTGGTCCATGGGTGACCCTGAACTGTTGCTCACCAATAGGTAAAAGAATAAATAGAAATGTGAAACCATTGTCATTCTTTTGAGTGAAAGTGATGGTGGCCTCACCTTGTCTTCACCAAGTATCCCAGTCACAAGTGCCCGGTATATCTTTGATATTTTCCTGGTACCACTACGTTTGGCTTTCCTACATGTAAGAATAGTTTCAGCACTAATTTAATGGGTTCAAAAATTGGAAAGAAGGCTATGCCTGTAAAACATACAGAAAGCTCCAAAGTGACATGATTCAATCTGTATTAAGGATTTAATAAAATCTTCAATCTTCATTATTCAAGCCAGTTATCAGCTATTATTGCTTCATCAGTCAACTACACATGCCATTGCACTTAAATCATTTTTCAATGGTCTAGCTTCTGAGAACTGAATACAATTCATGCTAAGTTGCTCTTTCGAACAGAAAAATATATCAGTAAATTCCCAAGTCACTTAGGGATTCTACTTATTATCTTCAGTGTTGCTGCTTATGCTTTTGCTTCTTTCAATGGCTTTTTCTTTCCCCAAAGCTGTTGCAAGTTGTCTTCTTTGGAGATTTTTACAACTTCAAATTATATACATTTGACTTGTATCTTTTACTTCATCATATAGTGAAAATTCTTACACGTGTCGTCTTTGAATTATAAATGCATCAAATTTAAACTAAAACTTATTTTCAGATCCTTGGAGATTATAGGAGCTCTCCACATAGTTACTGTAAGCGTCGACAGAAACCAACTCAAACATGCTATTTAACTTCTGGCAATCACGTAAATAGAGATTCATAAAGCAACTTGTTTAAAAATTTTATTATTTCTTAAAAGGATCTACTAGTAATAAAAATAGTTATTTTTCACTTCAAAAGCTATAAGTGGAAACAAGCATGATGGTAATTGTTTTCCCTTACTACCTGTTAGCTCCAACAAGAGATGTCCCATCACTAAAATATGCCGCAAGGCAAGTTTTAGCAACTTTTGTCTTTGCACAAAGTAATATTCCTAGAAGCCAACAAGCAGCAAATCAGCCCATCACAAAAACTGATCAGCATTCCTTAGTTTCTCGACAAATTAATATAAAAATTAGGAAAAAGCATAACAATATAGAAGTAAGCCAGCAATAATGTGTAGAAAGGAGCATAAACTGCTGACAGGTTATCTATGGAAGAAACACTAAGACAACATTTACTTGAATAAATTCTGTCAGCAACATGAAGTCTGTAATAAACTATCGCCAGATTTGTGACTCAACTCTCAAGATAAAGTATGCATCTGCAAATTAAATCCAACATTATCTTTTTATTTCTCCATTATTGCTACCTTTGCTTTACTTCTCACTCTTGAGCAAGTAAAAACTAGAACATGGAGAAATATAAAGCCTTGGACATGTTATCAGCATTAATTAAGAAATGATGAATGTGCAAACCTGATGTACCCCTTCCTAGGCGATGCACAGGAACAGGATGTGATTCTTGACTTGCTAAGGAAGAGTTTTGCTTCCTTACACGCCAATAAAGCTGTCTTAAAACAGTTCGTTGCTGGAAAAGACCACCAGGCAAAACTTGAAGACCAGAAGGCTTGTTTAAAGCAATCTAAGAACATAAACATTTCAATTTACGTCAAACTTAAACCAATACTTCCAATTTCCACAATATAATTGGGTACTAATAATTTATGGAAATATGCCATATGGAAGCCTAGCACGGAACTCAAAACATGGATATTTCAGTTAAAAGGATCATACAAAAAACTATTATAATTAATGCTAACATCTAAATCACTTCGACTTTTCATTTTTCTTAGAAGTACCATGTCGGCACCTCAAAGTGGACTTGAATAATGAAAATGTTCACTCTGCAAAAATAACGAAAAATTTAAGGAAAAAATTGCACAAAATTAAAGGTGGTATAGGTTAAATATGGTATAAAAGTGCACAAAATTAATGGTTTTGCTGTCATTAACAAATATATATATATATATATATGTACATAAATTGATAACAAAAAGAAAAAAAAACAATTTTAACCTTAAATTATAATTGGAATTAGTCTTATTATTATCAATTTATCATAGCAATTTAAGCATTTCCCAATTTGGTTGACAATTAATTAAATAAAAAGTAAAGTTTAAATCTTCCCATACTTTTTAAATAATAAAAGTTGAATTAATCATAGAACTAACATAAAAAAAAACCCCAGAATTCAGATTTCATTTCTTTCAAAAATTAAAACAAAATATAAAAAAAAACCCAATCAAAAGTAAGAATTTACCATATCATCATCCTCGTACAATACTTCAAGCACGTGAGGCGCGTCTGGTTCTTTCCAAGGAAGCCTATGGTAAACTAACTCTGAACCAACACTGCAAAAATAAATAAAAATAATTAAACATGTAATGGGAAATAATTTCTAGAACGAATATATATATATATATATATATATATATATTAAAAAAAACCTGAGAATCGCGTTTGGATCTTGAACGACTCTTCCATCAACTGATATCTGCAAATCGACGAAAAAATGGAAAATTTATTCATTTCATATTTTGTTTTTTAATTAATTCTGTAAATTGATTTTTTTTTTTTTTTGAGAAACGGACCTGTCCATTTTGAATTCGCTGCAACCAACTGTTCAACCGTTAATATTTTGAAAAAAAAAAAACAAAAAAGGAAAAAGAAAAGAGAATTCGATATAATTATAGAGAATTAAAAATAATTACCCTTGTAAAGGAGCCGAATTTTTGTACATGCTAGAGTAAAATTCTATTAAAGTAAGCTCTGTAAAAATAAAATGGATTTAGTATAAATTTAGAACAGAAGAGGGAGAAAAAAAAAAGGTTTGGAGTTACCGGAACCGGAAGGTGGAACGACGTCGGTGTAGTGTAAACCGTCGTTGAGTTCCGGCCATAGTAACCCGAAAGCCAGAGACTGAGTTTGCGAATCGTTTGACATTTATTTTTGAAGTTGCAATGGCCAATTTTGTTACTTTTCAGTGTTTTGAGATTTGATTCGGCTTTTTTCTTGAAGAATTGGGTTGAATACAGTGGATCATATTTCCTTCGGTCGGGTCTTAGATGGGTCGGAAAGAAGTTAATTTGGCATTTTTTTTTAGTTATTATTTGTTTTTTGTTTTCTAATTTTTTAAATTAAAAATATATTAAATGTTACTATTATATAAAATTGATAATTTTAAAAGTACGATAATACGATGTAAAAATAATATAAAATAATACGATTTAAAATTTTAATAAAAATTATATATGAATTTGATAAAAATAAAAAAAATATTTTATATTTGACTTATAAATATAAATTATGATACAAAAATTTTAATATTTTACAAGTGTTTAATATGAAATAAACAAATACAAATATATGAATTGTAAGTATGCTATTATATGTACAATTTTGTTGATTTTTGAATAAAATGGAGTAAAATTGAAATATTTTAAAAAATATTTTTTTAATGCAATTGATAAATTTTCATTAAATTTAAAATAAATCGTTAATTCTATTATATTTTTATCCAAAAATTATCTAGTGCTTAGAAAAGTGGAAGTCTCAAGAATTGATTATTGAGGTGGCGAGTTGACCTCAAATTGGGAGGCCTTTATATAATTAAAAAGGTCATTCAAGATAGGACGTATAGACTACAAGATCTGAATGAAAACCTCATTACAAGGACATATAATGTGGATAATTTAAAAATTTATTATCAGTAAAGGCTTGAGCTCATATTTTGTAATTTTAAAGCTTGCTTGTGCTATTAAATTCCACACTCAACAAAAGCCTTGGAGTTTAAAAATCTTGTATATCTACTTATAGTATATTAAGTCCAAGTGATAATATTATCTAATATTTAAAAGATACGAGGTTCGAAAGCAAAACATTCGAGCTATCGCAAAATGCCTGAACTAATACTTTGCAAAATTTTTGAAAAGTTAAAGTTTGAAGTCCTTTCATCAAGATCGGATAAAATTTTTAAAACTAAAGATTGATCAATATTTAAAAATTAGTTCGAGATAAGACTTATTACCAAGCTGAAACTTAGAAATGAATCTTGTCTGTTTAAAGTCTTAAGTCATTTCAATCCCTGAGTAGACAGTTAACTGCTAGCTTAACTCAGGTCTACCAATTCATTTCTAGTTTTATATGGTTGACATCGAGTAGCCTAGGCTATCCAAAACCCTCAATCTCACACGTATGAATAACTCCATCTAGGACCCTTTATTATATTGTTTTCACTACTTTCATACTATCTCCTTTCTATTCCTTTCTTAGATTGATTTTTGACTTGAGTTCGAAGCACAAACGTTGAAACCACTCTTAACCTTTGTTGTTAACTGCTCTATTTCTTTCTCTTATGATGACCTTTTAAAGACAACTCGGCACATACATTTAACATGCTAGGTAGGGACTTCTTTACATAGTCGAGCTAAAAATGCAACCTAAAAAGAGAGACGCTGAGGAAGGAGAAACAAATATTGCTGGAATAGATACCTAACTTAGCTACTTAACCCAAATTGATTTGTAGTAGTAGGCCCCACTATGGAGCAATTCGAAGCACTAACTTAACCATTTCAATCATTTAAAGAAATGATCTAAAATCTTACCTCACCTTATACCTCAAAAGCATATGACCTAACCACTAAAAAAACTCACATGTCTAAAAACTATCAAGCTACAATGACACTGTAGCCTCGTAAAATTTGATGATGAGGAAGAAGCGACACTCATGATTTATTACCCTACACACACTTCAACATAAGCCCTCACTAAAAAATCCAAACAAACCACCTTAGAACTGCAACTAAACAAAAACCTAGAAGCTTGGATAAAGGCTATAGAGAAGGAACTAAAGAATAAAACCTCCACATTTGATGATTAGCTTAGGTTTCTAGAAACCTTCCCCTTCATTAAAGAGATTGACTAAGATGTACCATTGAAAGGGTTTAACGTGCCAACCTTAGAGACCTATAACAATATAGTTGACCTTTTTTTTTTATCATTTGGAGTTTTATCAAACTAAAATGATGTTGCAGAGAGTCGATGGAGCTCTTATGTACAAAAAGCTAGCCACCACATTGAAAAGAGCAATTCGGTCATCGTATAGTAGTTTGGAACTAAGGTCAATCACAACATTTAAATAGTTTAGTCATTTTTTTATCTAGGTTTGTTAGTAATCGACAAACAAAAAAAACTACACCAAGCTTGATGTCATCTACTAGGGCTAAAATAAATCACTGAAAAGAGTATGTCACGCATTTTAACATTGAGGCTCTTCAGGCTAAAGACTTAGAACAGGCTGATGCAATTATTGCTTTAACAAGTGGATTAAGCGACAGAGAATACCACTTTAAACTCACCCTTTTCCTTAGATTTATATAAGACTCTAGCTAATGTCTTATCCATCACCCAAAAGTAAATCAATGTTGAAGCTACAATAAAAAACAATTGAGGTGAGAGAGGCTTATCCTCTTTTCTCGGCTCGTAAGTTTTTTATAAAGAATTATTTAATATTTACTTAAGGGTGTACAAGTTGTTTAGTAACAATATCAGGGATAAATTACAAAAATTCTATTAAATTTTATGCAAGGAATTATGAATTGAGCCATATATGTTTGAAAAAGTTAGTAAGTCTACTTAAAGGTATAAATGAAAAGAACATTTGATGAACAGTTCGTAAACATATTTGATTTTTATTCATTTATGTTTGTTTATTAAGTTTAACAAATGATTACAAACAACATTTTTAAGGTTTATTAATTAAATGAACATATCATGAATATAACAAATTTCATTCATGTTTGATTAACAGTTAGTGAACATCTTGGTTTTGATTTGTTTATGTTCATTATCAAGCTTAACAAATGATCACGAATAAAATTTCATGGTTAGTTAATTAAACAAATAGATCATGAACATAATAATGTTCGTTCATGTTTAGTTCGTTTATATCCCTAAGTCTACTTTCTAAGGACACAAGCAAAATTGAATCCCGAGTTTCCTATTAATAAATATTTAATTTTTACTAAAAGATATACATGTTGTTTGACAGTAGCATAAAAAAGTGAATTGAAAAAATTATTACAATTAATCTACAAGGAATTAAGGAATGAGCCATACATGGTTAGAAATGCTATCGAGTCTAGTTTCTAAGGCCCTAAAAAGATCTTAATTTCAAGTTTTATATCTTGAGATATAATCATTTTAGTGAAAAGAGTGCAAGTTGTTAGTATCAATTAGTTGAGTTAACTCATGTATATTTTAATTGTTTTAGTATAAATAGCTTAAAAAAGGTGGATTGATTTAATAGTGATAATAGTTACGAGTTATAATAGTAATCGTAACTAATGATAAACTAGTGATAATGATGATTAAATGAGTTATGATGATTAATTTATGATTTTGAAAATTGATTTATGATTTGTATGAATATGTATTTGACCATGATTTATGATTTATAATTGATGAAATGATATGTTTTGATATGATATTAATCTTTTAAATGATTTCTTAAATGTTTTGGAAGCATAATTTGAATAGTATTTTTGAATGATCTATATGCATGTATGAAAATAATGTTTGATGCGATAAGATATGTGAGCCTATACATGCTGATATGTAATTTGCTCATTCCTCTTTTACTTTCATTTTACAAATGATTAAATGATAAGTTGCTTATTCTTGTGAGAAGTTAGAAGAACGAATTAAAAAGGGTATTTGAGCATTAGAGATATTATTTGGCAAATAAGATTTTATAAAAAAATGTTTTTTTAGTTGTATTAGTTTACATTGGATTCTTGGAGTTTGTTATTTACTTGGATTTTAGATATGAAATTTACTCGAGGATATTATTTTAGTAAAGAATTTTTTAATGAATATGAAAGAAGGTTTCACATTGCTTTGGGTTTTATTTCATAGTAATATGGTAGTGTTATATCTCGATCTTGAGACATAACAAAAAGCGATATTAGAGCCTAAGTTATGATCTTTAGAGATTTTCTATTTGGATCATTGATTATATAGGGAATTTTTTAAAGCTTATATTATGATATTTATATTATGTGGAGATGTTTAAGAGTTTATATTATGATTTCATAAATTGTCTAAGAACTTAGGTAATTATCATTGGAGATTTCCTAAGAGTTTAATTTATAATAACTAGATTATTGGTGATTTTCTAAGAACATAAATTATTATTTTTGGATTGAAAAAGACATTCTAAGGGATTGGTTATAATCCATATACTATGTGAAGATTTTTAAAAATTTAGATGATAGTTTATGGATTATGTGATGATTTTCTAAGAGTTTAAGCTTGATCCATAAACTATAATGGTGAGTATAAGTAAATGATTCGATGAATTTTTGATTAGCTAATGATTTGATAAATTTTTAAGAAAGCAATGATTTGATGAATTCTTGGAGTAATTTTTTTATTGATATTTATATATTGCTTTTGAATTTTATCGTTAAAAAAAAATCTATATACTTTGACATAGTGTAATGTTTTGAGTTGAATGGATTTTCAATGTGACTTGCAACAAGATATATCTTATGAGTCAAAAGATTATAAGAAAGAATGAGTTAATTATTGGAGGTTCTATGGGTTGAGAAAAGACCTTTGATTTAACGAGGTTTTGAAGTTATTTGGTGAGTGTTACATGAACCTTTAGTCATGGGTTAAGCTTGGATTAAGGTTGTAAATTGTTGTAATTAAAGTATTGAATATTGTAGTTGGAATGAAATGATATTTTGAAATTTTGAAGTAATTAATTATTTACTAATTGTAATGTTTGGTATGTTTTATAATTTTATTGAAAAAATATTTAAAGTTGATCACGTGAATTGTAAGTTTGTATAATTAGTTTGAAGTTGGATAATTACATTTCTATTTGGAGTGTAAATAATTTTCTTTGTGGTGAAAGTGATTAATTTGTGATTAATTTCATTCTTGTTAAAAAGAATATTTCTAATGAAAGGCAAGTTTGCAGATACATCTATTTCATATTGTACATAACCAATCAATAGGAACCCCAAGCTTTGTTTGATTGGAGGATAGAAGCATCTTGCCTTAAAATTTGAAATACATATGTACT